GCGGCAAGGGCGGCCCGTGCAGAGCAGCGGCACTCACACGATGAACTCGGACAGGTTGCACCACTTCCAGACGTCCACCTTGTGCATCATGTCGGCGAAGGCCTTCCCGCAGAGGGGCAGCTTCTCCAGCATGCGAGTCTCGTTGCAGCCACCCACTCGGGGACACCCACCTGCAGAGGGGACAGCCGCGGCCATGACACTGCTGGGAATGTGGTTTGCAATGTGACCCTCAAGCCTCCTGCTGACATCCCCCACACCCCCGCAGGCAGCTGGGGTCCCTCACGCTGGCCCCCCCACCGTGTGGCCCAGAGAAGTGAAGCCACTGCCAAAAGGGGACCCACGTGGGTGGGTGTCACCTAGATGGGACCCAGAGAGCCATGGCCTCCCAATGGGGTGTGGGAGAAAGAAGGCGAGGGAGGGCAGTGGGCAGGGGATGCGTGTCCTGGGGACTGGGGAAGCCGAGAACAGGTGGGCTCCTGTGTGCGGTGGGGGTGGGGAGCGGGTCCCCTCCATCAGGGGTGGCAAAGCAGCCCCAATGCAGCGCCAGGGTGGAGGGTGCCCAGAGCATGTCCCCAGAAAGATCCTGAGAGTCTGCTGACCTCCTAGGACCACGAGGGCACCAGCAGAGGCCCCCATGGGGTGAACGCCACCGGCCCCGTCAGAGCTGCCCCTCAATTCCAGGAGGCCTGGGGCCAACGAGACATAGGGACTCATGTTCCAGAAGCGGAGGCCAGGTCACCCCCAGGTCCGGCAGGGGTCCCCCCAGGATTCCCGGCACCCCCTCCCCGCTCCACCTCTGCCCCTAGCACCCCCATCCCTCCACCTCCACCTTCACCCAGATCATCTCCCCACCGAGGAGCACTCACCCTCAGGACCGGACCACCCTTCCTCCCCAGACACCCCTCAGAAGTTTCCTTCGCATGGACCCTGCTTTGGCTCCCACCACACAATCAAGAGAAAGCCCCGTGGTGTGTGTCCTGGTATGTGTGTGCATATGTGTGCATGTGTGTGTATGTCTCTGTGTGTGTTTGTGTGTGTGCGTCTCTGTGTGTGTTTGTGTGTGTGCATGTGTGTGTATGTCTGTGTGTGTCCTGGCAGAGAGTATTGTGCTGCAGGAGAAATCGTAGGGAAGGAAACAGGAGAGAGGCCCACACCCAGAACTGGGCAGACCTGGGCTCACACCCAGCATCACTGGTCACCAGCTGACCTCAGTTTCCCCATCTGTAAACTAAGGGAAACAGGTCCTGGCCTCACAGGGGGCCATATGGACAGGCATTAGCCATGTGCCCAAGGAGGCTCCCATCTTTACGGTGTTTGTTGTTACTGTAGGTATTTGGTAAAACCCTGCTGCTCCCTCACTCCCCTAACCATCAGCACCTCGTTGGTATTCCGAAAAGATTTTTCAAGAGAATGAATGAATGAATGACCAGTTCCTGAGGGCAACAGCACAAATTTCACAGTCTGAGCACAAGCAAGTGCAGAAGAAATGGCAGGTTCTGACCCACTGAGATCCCACACTGCAGGCCACGTCGTCCCCAGGGGAGATCACAGGGTGCCTGGCTCAGGGAGGGGCTTGCGCCACAAAGAAGGTGGCCCCATGACCATAAGGGCGCTTCTGGGAACAGAAGGGAGGTGAGAATGAAGAGGGCAAGGCAGTGAAGAGTTTTAAAAAAAATTAAGTCCAAAAGAAAACATAAAAAAAGAGAAGAGAAAAAGTACTGATGACACAATGGTAGATATAAACCAAACCATGTCAACAGTCAGATTGAGGGACGCCTGGCTGGCCCGGTCGGTAGAGCATGTGACTCGTGATCTCAGGGTTGTGAGTTCAAGCCTTGGGTGTGGAGATTACTCAAAAATAAAATCTTAAAGGGCGCCTGGGTGGCTCAGTTGGTTAAGCGACTGCCTTCGGCTCAGGTCATGATCCTGGAGTCCCGGGATCGAGTCCCGCATCGGGCTCCCTGCTCGGCAGGGAGTCTGCTTCTCCCTCTGACCCTCCTCCCTCTCATGCTCTCTGTCTCAAATAAATAAAATCTTTAAAAAAATAAAATAAATAAATAAATAAAATCTTAAAAAAAAATTGGGGCGCCTAGGTAGCTCAGTCATTAAGCGTCTGCCTTCGGCTCAGGTCATGATCCCAGGGTCCTGGGATCGAGCCCCGCATCGGGCTCCCTGCTCGGCGGGAAGCCTGCTTCTCCCTCTCCCACTCCCCCTGCTTGTGTTCCCTCTCTCGCTGTGTCTCTCTCTGTCAAATAAATAAATAAATAAATCTTAAAAAAAAAATTGATTGAGAGTCAATGGCCTAAACACCCCAATTAAGAAGCAAAGTTGTTAGATGAGATCCAAAAACAAGCCCCAACCATAGGCTGTTCGTAAGAATCCTACTTTAAACAAAAAAACTCAAATACATTCAAAGTAAAAGGGTGGAAAAAGACATACCATACTAATCCAAAGAAAGGTGGAGTGGCTATATGAATTCTGAATGAAGTATATTCAGAGCAAAGAATATTACCAGAGATAAGGAGGGTCTTTCACAATGATAAATGATTCAATTCACCAAGGAGACATAGCAATGCTAAACATGTATGCCCCTAATAACAGAGCATCAAAACACAGGAGGCAAAAATGGATAGAACTGCAAGGAACAAAACGACAAATCCACAGTAACAGTTGAGAATTAAATACTCTTCTCTCACTGATTTACAGAACAAATGAATAGCCAAAAAATCAGTGAGATTACAGAAAACGAACAGTGAGGGAGTGCCAGGTACAGACAGTGGGCCATGGAGCCAGACTGCACTTGGCTTGGGGGGGGCACCCACAGTTGTTAGGGGTGAAGGGGTGGCAGTGAGTTGGCCTGAGGCAGGCCTCCCAGGGCAGTTTTCAACCCCAGCACTCTCCCGCTGAACCCAATCTCGGAACCTTCACTCATAGAGTCCAGGCATGCAGCAGCCAAGACTCAAGCTGATGTCCCTTCAAGAGGAGCCGTGCCATCTCCTCCACAATGCCTGACCAATGTCCACAGTGCCCTGTCCTAAGTAAGGTCCCACTCGCAGAGGCACTTAAAAAGACAGGGTTGCCACAAAGGGAAGGTCATCCACCTGCTCAGTAACACAGTAGGGGTCAAGCCCAAACCACCTTCCTGTAGAGCTGCCCCCCAGTGGCCTGTCAGACTGGCCTGAGCCGACACCCTCATGCCAATCCCATCCGTGGTTTGCCTGAGGAACAGCATCAAGTCTCCTGCCCCCCCATCCCCCCAGTTTAAATGCCCAGAGGAAAATCGACTTTCCCACAGCCAAACGCAGAGTCAATGTGAGCCAGGGTATTCATGCACGGGCCTCGATCCACCACCCTGCCCAGATGCACCTGCCCATCTGCGGCAGGAAGGCAGCCCTGGGTCCAGGGCCACATGGGCATGGTGCTAGTGACTCTGGGGAGTGCAGGCCCTTGGGGGCCCGTGGGGGGGTGGGGAATGATGATGAAGCCAGCCCACGTTCCCTTCTCCCATCACTGCCCTATTCCCAAGGCACCTCTCTCTCCAGCTCCCCAGTGGGCTCCCCATCATAGGTGCTGGAAGTCCACCAGCATTCTCCACACCTAGCCCCTGGACCCATTCCTGGGCCTGGCCTTTCCCTGATGGAGTCATCACAGCATCCCATCTGAGTCTCCTGAGCTCCACCCACCTCCCACACGGGCATAAGCCACACAAGTCCCACACTGTCACCTCCTCCTTGCTGCTGCCTCACCTTCCAGCGAAAACCCACCTTCACCTAGACCGTCTACCTGATCCGACACCTGGGCTGGACCCCGACACCTGGACCTGCACCTCTGGACCCCCTGGACCCCTGGACCTGCATCCCCTGGCCCTGGACCCCTGGACTGGCAACCCCTGGACCTGGACCCCCTGGACCTGGGCCCCTGGACTGGCAACCCCTGGACCTGGACCCCCTGGCCCTGGACCCCTGGACTGGCAACCCCTGGACCTGGACCCCCTGGCCCTGGACCCCTGGACTGGCAACCCCTGGACCTGGACCCCCAAGAGCCCCGCAGCATACCCTAACCACCTGCTGTCAACCCACTAAGACCCAGCGCAGCACTTCCTTCCTCTGTTCTCCTCCCTCTGCCCTGGGACCCTCTCTCTTCTGGCCCCTCCTCCTCCTTCTCCTGGACCAGAGTCTCCACCGCAGCGCGGCAGGAACTTGGCCAGCGCTGGCCCTTAAGGACCATGGGGGGTGCTGTGAGGATACCAGGACAGTGTCACTGCTGGGTCTGCACAAGGCAGGCACCGTGGGGCAAACCAGAAGTGTCCTGGGCCATTCTAGCACCATCCCTGAGGCACACCCTGTTCAAACAGTCCCCGCAAAACCCAACACCCCGGCCAGCGTTAGAACAGCAGGTAAAGACGAAGATTCCTGACAACACCGAGAAAGTGGGCGGCTGCCTCAAGCTGCCAGCTGCATCAGTAAAGGTCTCGGGAATTAAACTGAAATACAAAACTCAGTTGGTTCCATCAGGGAAACAAAGAAAACGTAGTACTGGGTTCCTTTCGTCTCGGGAACTTCCAGACTCCAGGAGGTGATAAACAGCCAAACAGATGCATTTCCCAGAGAAAGGCCTTTTACAGCGGGGCATTTGGAAACGAAATACAGGAGCCTCTCATCCGGCTCGGATGGAAACGAGGAGCAACCACACCAGTCACCAGGCTCTGAGCGGCAGGCATGGCCAGGCTGGCCATAGTGTCTGGAAGGTTCTGCCCCTGCCCCTGAGTCTGGGCAATGTCCTCCCCACCCTGGACTTCAATTTCTTATCTATAAAACGAGGAGTGGGGTCAGAAGACCGTCGAGGCCCCTATCAGCCAACCACCTCTGCGCAGCCCCTGGGTCACTGGGCCCGGTGGAGTGCATGCGAGTCTGGGTGACAGGAGGTGACTCGGCATCAGGACATCATTACTCACCACTGACAAAGAGAGGACGGTGCCATGCTCGCACACAGCACCAGCGCTGTCTGGGGGTGCTGTCGGTCCCTGGAGCCACCCAAGCTCCATGCAAGGGAGACCATGGAGCCACCAAGGGAGGACCAGATGGCCCTCCAGACCCAAACCCAGTGTTGTTAAACGCGGAAGATGTTTGTGCGGGGTCTGCCTCTGGTCCTTCACTGTCCAATGCTGGCGGCAGGTCAGGGGAGCCTCAACCATCCTCAGAATGAAGCTAAGGGCTCCCTTCCCTTGAGGAACCAAAATCTCCATTCCAGGGGCCTCGCATGTGAGGCTTACTGAAATCCCACGTCAGGGTGCTCCCGATGTCCAAAAGCCACCACGCACCCTTTCCTTCAACACAAAGATCCACCTAACCCTAGGCTCTGACCCTGGAAGGTGAGACGAAGCCCCACTTTCCCCACCCAGACACCTCCACCGGAAAGGCCTCCCAGAGATCGGGAAGCCAAGGGGCCAATCCAGCCCTTTCCCACCTCCTAACCGGTTCCAAATCAGCAAAGCCCACAACGATTTCAAACAAGGTCAACTTTGCATCTTACAGCCAGGGACGTGGGTGGGCCAGCGAGGGCAAGGCTGGCCTCCCACAGGACCCAGGGGACAGTGGCCCCTGGGAAAGGCCCTGAGCCCCCTGACCCCCAGGCCAGGGCTCCCCACCTCAACTGAGCAGCCTGCTCAGCAAGCTTCTCCCAGAGAAGCCCACCCCAAACACACACACACACCCTCTTACTTGATCTTGGATCCTCTCTTTAGTAAAATTTTTCAAAACAAGCTTTTCATTCGATCCATTCCCAAATCGCAATGTATCCTCCCCGGAGCCCCGTTTTCCTTGCTAGAAGAGGGATCTGGGAGCGAAGCCTCAGGGAGCTTCCCCCTTCCCGGTCCTGCGGGCCCCGCGCACACTCTCACACACACACCAAAGGGCTTTCCTCCGAGGACAAGTACAAGTGGAAAGGACCAGCCCTGCTGGGTCTGGATTCCTCTCACCCAAGCCCTGGGAGGGGGGTGCACGCAAGAGCTCCAGGATGGGGAGCTCACTACCTATCAGCGAAGTGGGAGCCGGACCTGCGCCGCCTCAGCTCGCTCGGGGTGTCGCCCTGGCAGGCCATCCCCAGCCCGCCGGCAGCAAGACCGGCGACATCGCGGCTGCGAGGAGCAGGCGCGGCCCCAGCCCGCTGGCCGGACATATCCTGCTCGAGACCCCGCGCCTCCCCTCCCAGCCCCGGGCCGTCGCCTCCGGCTCCTCCGGGGACCGTGGGCAGGACCCTCCCGCGGCGGCTGGGGACGGCGCCCGGGCTCAGGGCTCGCCGCTCC